GGAGTCAGGTTAATGTTCTCGATCTGCAAAGGTATCAGATTAGCTATAACATTATTCTCAACAATGAGCCCATTTAGTTACCCGCAGCAGCAACACGCTGCAGCACCTTTTATCCGTCTCCACCGGCACATAGATGTAGATGCCCTTGCTATTCAGATGCACTATGGGCAAGTCGTGCACAGTTCGTAGGCAATCATTCCGTGCCTGCTTTGGCGGCACAGCCACCTCGGCAGGCTGGGCGTTGCAGAGCATGTCAATGAGCTCGCATTGGGATAACAGGAATTCGGTAATTTTGTCCACATGCAATATCATCTCGATCGGCTGCACCTCGATGAGCAGCTCAGAGATCGTGCGACGTTTGCTGTGCACATTGCGTGCCCCGATCTTCGAGTACAGATCCTGCAGGTTGACCGTTGTAACCACTATGCTGATCAGTGGCAAATTAGTGCTATCTCCCAGCACTTTGATGTGGAAATCATCCATGAGCCTCCAGTCGTCCGGATCTATTGCTTCGTAATAGTTGAGGCTCACGTTCTCTAGTTTGGTGGTGATCTTTGTGAAATCCTCATGTCGGTCCACATTCAGCAACAGATCCTCTAGGCTTAGCAACAGTTTCCGTTGCGTTCGACCACTGCAGCTCTCCACTTCCAAGGATATGCGCGGTATAGTCCACTGACAGAAGAAGGTCAAAATGCCCTTGGTCTTGAGATCTATACAAAGTAAAATACAACATTAATTGTAAGCAGGGTACCGACTAGACTATATATATCTTCTTAGACATAGCTCACCTGGAGTCTTAACCATTGGCTCCACATTCGCTTTCAGCTCCAGGAATTCCTTCAGGATGCTATAATTCTGTGCGCTGCCAGTGTAAATTTCCAAATTGCATCTGCGTTCGGCTTCATTGGGTGGGGATGGACGGGCTGTGAATGTGCTGAGCGAATTACCGACTGCATTCACAATAGTAAAGTGTTCACTCAAGAGCTTCAGCTACAAAATAAAAAGGGATTAATTGTGGGATCAATGGAAGGGTTCTCATAGACCTACGTGGCGCGCAAAGACATTTATAGGTGACATATCCATATGGACGTTGACTGAATATGTGATGGGCCACTGCTGATCCACTGGTTCATCTGCTTTGTTGGGCTCGGAATCAATATGTCTCAGCTTCGCTGGATTCGACAATTTGTGAGACAGGGCCAAGGCGATGGTTGTGCGCACAGGCTCCACAATCATATCCACCTTATCGGGCGGCAGATGATATGCGACGGAGAAGTCATTGGCCTCCATTACCAAATTGCACAGGTCCACCTCGTCGTTCACATTGATCACGGTCCGTATGTTGCCGCGCACCACCTCGTCGCCGTTGCTGGACTTGATCCGCAGGCGCGATAATTGAATGGCGGTGTATTCCACTTGTAAGTCCTTGCTATTCCTGCGCAGCATTACATCACACACATCGATTCTCGCTTTGCTCAGTTCGAACACTACAGCCATTTTATTCAGCCGGCTTATCAGTTGAACCACGCCCACGGAGTCCATGCTGGAGGTTGACTCCATTTTCGGCATTAATTTAACTGGTTCTATGTACGTGACGGGCTTCTCGTCGCGTTCGGAGCTCGCGTGTATTGTCTCCGCCGGATTCGAGATCTTACGGCTGTTCGAGCGACTAGTGCGACGCAAATTCACCTCACTCTGGGTCAGCTTTGGCACTGAAGTCATCGACGCGTAGGAGGGAAACCGCTCCGATTGACTAAAACTGTCAAAGTCGGCTTCCGGATCTATGGAATATAAGACGTCCATGAGTTTAGGCTACGATGCATTGATCCCTTCGAAATAAATACCCACCATTTTCAATGCCCTGCTCGGGATTGGCGAAAGAGTTGAGGAACTGAAGCAAATAGATGTCTAGAGTTAGGCGAAAGCTATCGACCCAAATGCAAATGGCAGTAGCTGGCGACACTTTGCTGTATGAGCTCGATGCCTCCTGCGGGAGCTGAAGCTGCAGCTCCAGCCATTTGTTGTTGCTGCCCTTATTGGTCGAGATGATCACGTTGCGAATGTTCATCATTGTGTGATACACATCGGTGTTCAGGTTACGCAGCGAGAACAGCATCGCCAGGTGCGTCTGAAATTTGAGATAGTTCAGCTGCACCTTGGTGATCAGCGTTTGCAGCTTGATCACATCGGCGGAGACATTCGCCTCGGCCACCATCTTCGCCAGGCCGCCCAGCTGAGCTCCATTGTAGTCGAATATCAGTGGCACGATTGTGTTCACTATGACAAGTTCACGCTTGGAGAACTCCACGTTGATCAGCTCCGTTTGGACATCAGCCTGCTGCGTTGGAGCCGAATTGAATCTCTCATCGTTGGGCAGGAGCAGGTTCTTGAATTGCAGCTGCATACTGGGTATATTCATCAGCTTTGCATGCCCCATTGCTGCCGTGGTATTCTGGGCCATCAACGTCACATTTTTCACATTGAATTTGAAGTTGTTGTAACAGGAATCGATCAGCTCGCGCGGCTTCTCCTGCAGCTGAGTGATCAGCTGCACAAGACGTTTGGGATTCGCGGGTGTCGTAATGGAGCCCTCGGCCAAGGACAAGTTCAGCTGTAGATAGGGCAGGAGGGACTGGTTGATAGTGGTGGATAAGCGATGTTGATTGGATGTCGTAGAGCTCTCGGCACTCTGCTGCCTGGGAAAGAGCTTCACAGTCATGTCACGCAGCTCGATCCTATAGTCGCAGGTGGGCATAAAGCCGATTAGATACTCCAAATCGGCATAGGTCATATACTGGCTATTGCCCGTCTCCTGTGGTTCGCTTCTCACCGGGCTGCTGTTGCTGATTTCTCTGATTGGGGATTCTGCAGTATATCCTGTATAATCGTAAGGACGCAACAAATCACTAATTACATTTTTAACCTGTACAAAAGACTGCGAGAAGTGGAATGCGATGCCAGCTGACAGCACTCGATACTTCATGCGCAAGCCCAGATCTCTCAGTGGAGTCTCCGGCGTCTTTTGATTCTTCGCTGGCTTCGGTGCGCGACACTCGACAACATCGAAGGCGAGCACCGGACTCCGGAAGAGCATATACTCATCGGTGTGGCGTGCGAAATAGTCGTCATGGTTGTGGCCACACCAGACACGATCCGCGAACTTGTACTGATCGTCAAAGAGACTCTTGTCCACAAATGCCCGTGCGTTCTTGTGCTAAGAGTGGAGAAGACATTAAGCATTTCAGGTCAGGTGATCAGCATTATGAACTATACGAGCTCAGTCGTATTCCAAACTAACCTCCTTGGTGCTGACCAGATTGCGATCGATTGGATCATCGCTGCGATAGATACCCAACGGTTCCATGCAAATGCTGGACAGTCCCGCCCTCACGTTGGTCCAGTCGTTCTCCTTCAGCTGCGATCGTTCATAGTAGATGCCGCCCAGGCTGAGGCGCACGATTGGCGTATAGCGAATGCGCTTCAGGCCGCCCATGGCCTGATCGTTGATTAGCTCTGAGTTCTTGAGCTGGAAATTGAACTCCTCGGCATACACACCTATGTCGAGGGCATGCCCTATCAGCTCCTCGGAATTCGCGTTATTTCCCTCAAAGCTGGGCAGCAGATTCCAAGCGCGCCAAAACATGGAGCCAGTCGCCTCACTGGTAGGAGCGGCACCTGCGCTAGCGCCACTTGTCGATGCTACTGGCTGCTCCAAATTGAAAATGTTCTCCTCCTCTGCGGGCTCACTGGGCTTCAGTTCCAACAGCAACTTAACCAGTTTCATGACCATGGGCAGCTGCAGCGACGACACATTGATGTCCAGGGACTTGGTGAAGACTCCAATGCGCTTGGTGCTCGACGTGCTGACAGTGTTGGCATTATGCTTCAGCAACACACGCAGCTCCAGGGTGCAACGGTAGAGTATGGGCTCTTGGCACACCTCAATACGTCCAGCCGTATTTCGCTTATCCAGGCAAATGGTCAAATCAGAGATTTGAAGTAGCTTCCGCAAATACACATTCACCGGATGGACATCCACCATGGCTGGTTGCCAATGCTCGTCTGCAGCGCTGAAGTTCAAGTATTGCACGTTCATGGAGACGACGATGTCGTCATCCACATACTTCAATATGATATTGTGACATTGCAAATTGATGTTGTTGATGATCTTGTTGACAACGCCCGATGGAGTGGGTGTGCCAGCTTGCTGCTGAGGCTCCTCGCCTTCAACTGAGTTACGTTTCCGACGCTGCTCCTCGAGCAGTGAGGCACGTCTTTGCTTGCTCTCCTCATTCGGCAGTTTGGCAACGAATTCAATTGTGTTTATCTCAATGCGCACCGGCTCAGAGGTCAGCTTTGTCCAGGGCACCTGAATGGAGAGTTCGTGTATATGGCCGGATACGAGTTCAATGGGTAGATTCAGCTCCTCTTCGAGGACATCGAGTCGCAGATCTAAGTTATGGAATGATGCCTCGCCCTCCCATAGCGATACCTGTGCATCTTCATCGCGAATGTTTTTAACATATTTCGCCACGTAGTTAAGCAAAATTGGTGTTATATAGGACTCTAGTTTAAACATTATCGCGTCGTCCAACAGCGACAATTACACGATGATAATGCGCATTAACCAACTCTGCCTACTTAATTGAACGATTCAGTTTTTAATTTAATGCACATTTCGTTAATTTTGTTACGTTATTATGCCGAAAAGCAAAATAAAAACAAAATAACATTTGCTAAAATGTTCAATTGTTTACTTTTGAGCACCGGCGCACAGTGTTGGCTAATGCCGTAAACTGCCTGCGTTGCAGCACTGCTTGCACAGTGTAGGTTATTCAAATAGAGCAAGTAAATATCATCTTTTTGCATTACCATTTGAATTATATGTACTTAATATGCCCTTGGATGCATTTCACAGTTATTTTTATATTAACTATTTTATTGATGTAGTAGTTCAGTTTCTTCAATATCCTTCGTGAGTCTGACAACCTGTCGTTACGTGCAGCCCGTGCGACATCAGCTGTTCGATCACAATTGTTGACAACGCGGAACAGTTAAACATTTACTCTATAAAATGCCACAAGTTACTAAACCTAACGAAGAATTTGGTGAGCAGCAGTAAACTTGCATTGACTCGATTCCTATTGAACTCTTTGTGTTTCACAGATGTGGTCAAATACTTTCTACAGCTGCTCGAGGATGATAAGGACTTGTCCTCAGGCATTGCGGCCATCAAAACGCTGCTCATGATCTTGGAAAAGAAACAATGTAAGCAAGCACAGTCGTCAAACCAAAATTATTATTAAGTACGAATATATTTGTTGCACATTCACAGTTGGCACCATACACATTTTGCATACCACAATGCGCGAGGCTGTGGCGGCCATGCGCAACACGGATCTGTCCATAGCCGCGATTGTGTCGGCGGGCGAGCTCTTCTGCCGTTTCATAACACTCAGCTTGGACGACAAGCATATGGAGGAGTGTCGGCAGATAATGTTGAATCGGGGCAAGATCTTCTTAACCAAGCTGCAAAACTCGCGTCAAGTGATTTCCCAGCAGGCACAGCGCTTCATCAGCGATGGCTGCCGAATCCTCACACACTCCCGATCACGGGTCGTTCTCAAAGCTCTGATAGCAGCATCGCAGAACAAAAAGACGTTTCATGTATTTGTGACGCAAGGCGGCATAGGGAACTCAGGGCAAGTACTCATAGGAGAACGGACTCACATTTATTTAATGTTATCCGGTTTTTAGGGAGGAGATGGTGCAGGATTTGCAGGCAGCTGGCATTGATTGCACACTTATACTGGACTCGGCGACGGGCTATGTCATGGAATCGGTTGACTTTGTTATGGTTGGCGCTGAGGCGATCGTTGAGAGCGGCGGCATTATCAATCGGATCGGCTCTTATACAATGGGCCTGTGTGCGCGCGAAATGAAGAAACCCTTCTATGTGCTCTCCGAAAGTTTCAAGTTCTCTCGGCTGTATCCATTAAATCAGAGAGACTTGCCAAACGAGTACAAGGTAAGGCAAAATTAAGAGATTACTCTGAAGAGCTGTTGCTATGATATTTCTCTATTGGTTTTCAGTACTCCCGCAAGCATTTGAATGACATTTCAAAGGTGCATCCACTGGTCGATTATACGCCGCCTGCCTATATCACGCTGCTATTCACGGACCTGGGCATCTTAACGCCATCGGCGGTTAGCGACGAATTGATCAAACTGTATATGTAAAGCTTGGCTAATAAAACGACATGTGACTCTGATCTAGATTCAAAATTGTGATTACACCGAAATATATAAATACGTTATAATAATGGCAATATAATACGTATACTAATCTAAGTTACTCAATGTACATGTTACTCTTAAAATTTATATATATGTGTATATATATATTCGACTTGTTAGAAGTGCATATCGCTGGCCGAGTAGGCATCAAGATCGTTCTCAAGTCCATACTCAGAGCCCAATTCATCATAGACATCTACGCTATAGCGAGATGAATCGCTGCTATTATCGTCGCCGATCGTATACTCGCTGTTATACTCCTCGAGATCATCCGTATAAACATCGCTTTCCTCTTCCATGGCATTAGCACCGCGTGCCACCTGGTCCTCGAGACCCTCCTCGGGCTCATCCAGATCGCTAGCGTTCTGTGAGCGAAAATGAATACATTTAGTCAGATTAACATTAATTTTATCATTAACATTTCTCTGTTACCACTTGACCAGTTTGTATGTTAATCTCGATCTGCAAACGTATGTCCATGACCAGAAAAGCTGTTGTTACCAGCAGAGGTATGGTTAGGCGACTCTTCCAAGCCAAATCGGTAAGGAACAGGAACACATTGCCAAACGTAGAGTCCATCATATTGTGTATATATATTTTAGTTCTGTTCTTGCTGCTGCTCGCCCACCTCTTGGTGCTCCTCCTCCACCTCAAGTTCGTCGTACTTAACGATCTCCAATGTTTCGCCTACCGTGACCGCTTGAACGGGCAGCAGATGACGATGCAGACGACCGCTTTCGATGGGCGTATCAAACTCGAGCAGTTGCTCAAATGTTTTCTCCGGAACACCGCTTGAGGCTAGAAGCGAGCGCATGCAATCCTCCTTCTTCGCCTGCAGTGAGTCCAAGAGTTTGGTTCCCTTTTGCACTTTCTGCAGTTTTCGCTCTGTATATCAAAACTTGAAATTGATATAAAATATTTTGACAAATGTATAGATATACCCACCTAGCAATTGCAAGTAGCTTGCCGAATCTGGCAAGGGCTCAAGTTGTTGTGGGCCTGTAACATTACTCTCCTTCAACTCTAGGTCGATATCCGCTGATGCCCGCCTTTCGGTCTCTTCTTTATTGATGCTGCTTGTGAAATTATCCTCAAATGTTTCAATCACTCTGCTGTTTCCGTTTTCTTGTTGTTTAATGCTGTTGCTTGTCATTTGCCAGGGGTCGGCTTGGCAAACTGACATGTTTCACTAACTTAAAACATTAACATCAGCTTTTAAGCAAATCGTTGTTATTTTCACGAGGAAAGTGCCAGGAAAACATATACATAAGCTAGAGATGAGCGCGTGCTGGGATTTCGTCTCACGATATTCAATTCTGATTTAAGAAATAGTAAAACACCAACGTCACGGCAGGCGTCGTTGCTTCTATGTGCATAAATACCATTTTTTAGCTGTTATGATTGGAATTAGAGTTTCAAAATTACAACTTAATAAAATGAATTTACTGTCCATATTTTCTTTTCGTGAAAGAATGTATAACACTCATCCAATTTTGTAACTTACCAGCTTCACCAACACTGTGCAAAGAAACAGCTGTGCCGATCCTAAACCAAGAAGTCTAGCGGTTTATCAGCAATCTGGAACCAAGAAAAAAACACTTGCTTAAGGGGTATATGCGCGTGTCACGAGTAAAAGCCCAGCTTTGGAACTCACTTTGCTAAGTGACGCAAGCTCATTGCTATGTTAATAATATGGTTTTCCAACATTTATCAGCACTGAAAATTAAACAGCTGTGTGATCAAGAACCTTTAAATGAAAAACATTCTCTAACTTGCATTAGAAATATTTGTAAAATGGATATATCGGCGCTGTCAGAGCCAGTTGAATTTTCAGCCACCGACTGGATTAATGCAAATTATAAGAAGTACATTGAGGAGAATAACAAACAAGAGGGCGCCTCTGCCACATCGTTCATACAAAGCTACGTGGCTAAGCTGCAGCTGTATGTGCAGCAGGTCAACTATGCTGTCGAGGAATCCAGCCAGCAGGTTGTGGCCAGCATGCCACGCATCGCCAAGGAAGCGGCCACGCTCCAGTGCGATGTGGCATTGTTGCAGCAGAAGATGAGTGCGATGCGTCAGGAGGTGGCGGCAGTTCAAGAAGAAACCGGCGATTGCATGGCCACTTTGGAGCGTTTGAATAATTTACAGAGCAAGCTGCAGGCGGCCAAAGAATCGTTGCAGGAATCGGATGGTTGGGGCAATCTGCTCTCCGAACTGGAAGACTGCTTTGAACGCAATGATATGAAGGTAACTAAACTTTTCCAGATTCAATGGATGAGCTATACAAAATCCTGTTTTGCAGGGCGTTTGCGATAAGCTGCGAGCGCTGCAGAAATCACTGCAGGCTCAGGAGCAACTGCCTGGTCATACCGAGCGCCAAACCCAGGTGGAGGACTTCAAGAATCGCCTGGAGGCCATGGCTTCGCCTAGCCTAGTTCAATGCTTTGCCGAATCAAATCTGGAGCAGGCGCAGCGCCATGTGCAAATCTTCAGCAGCATTCAGCGCTTGCCACAGCTGCAGCAGTACTATCGAGCCGTCCAAAAGAATGTGCTGCAACAGCAATGGAAGCAGACGCTCGAGCTGCAGGCGAGCGAATCGCCGCAGCAGCATTTCCTCACGCTCTTCTACGACCAGCTCTTGGAGCACTGCCAACGCCAATTGAAATGGTGCGTGCAGCTGTTTGCAGATGAGTCGATAGACGTGGCTCAGTCCCAGCCATTTCTGGTCATTGCAGAGCTCTTGCCAGCCCTGCAACCAACACGCGATGCCCATATACTACAGCTGCTGAAGAGCTCCAATGAGCGGCTGGAGCTGTTGGCTCAGTATGCGCAAGCCAATCAGAATTTCGTGCTGCATCTGAACTCGATGCTGAAGCAGTCGTCTATTAGCTTGCCTGCCGAGCTGCATGGCCAACTGGCTGAGGCGATCTTTGAATACTTTCACAAGTTCATACAGCAATATCCACGGCTCGAAGAGACGCAGCTGTCCACACAAGTGGATCGCCTGCTATCGAATCAGTCGACGCCCAGTGATGCAGTGCGGCATCTGGAGGACAGCACTCGCAAGCTCTACGAGTGGCTGCAGCAGGCGTGCGCGCGCTGTGAGGCTATAACCAACGACCTGGCCTTGTGCAAACTGATTACGGTCCTCAATGGCATCTTCAAGCGGCAGCTGGAGAACTTCAGCCGCACACAGCGGCAGCTGAGCCTCAGCCTGGGTAGCAGCAACAGCGAGGGCACAGCCCGCAGCGAGAACTGGTCGCTCCTGCAGTACACAATGTCCCAGCTGCAGTGCCTCGCCGATTTCCAGCTGCAGCTGCATCAGTTCGAGCAGCTGCTGCATTTGCGCATGACCAGCTTAGCCAACAAGCTGCAGCAACCAGCCAGTGGGCAGGAGATCAGCATCTATCAGACCTGCGAGCGCGTTATGCATCAGCAGTTGCTCTCCACCATTGCCGACTACCAGCAGAAGAAGAGCGAGGCAACAGCGGCCACTAGCTCCGATAGCTTGGGCATCTTCCCACAGATCTATGCCACACTGAAGACTTATCTGGCGGAGACGCATGACATCACCTTGAACATCCTGCTGCAGCCCATCGAGGCGCACCTGGCGCATATACGTCCGCCCGTGGAGGCCTACTCGAGTTCATCGGCCATCAATATGCCGGCGTTCAGCTACGCTCCACAAGAGAGCATCACGCAGATTGGCCAATATCTGCTCACGCTGCCACAGCATCTGGAGCCGCTGCTGTTGTCGCCATCAGCACTGCTGAAGCAAGCTCTTGAGCTCTGCAACATCAAGTACACCCAGGCGATACCCTGTGCAGATGTCCTGCTCTCCCTGGTCGTGGAGCAATGCTGTGTGATGTACCAGACGCAGATATTGCAAATCAAATCTCTGCCCGCCTCATCGGCCACGCAGCTCAGCGTGGACATTGAGTACTTGTCCAACGTGCTCGAGGAACTGGGCTTGACCATCAACCTGCAGTTGTCCCAGATCCTGACTTTGCTGAAGGCTGCACCCGACCAGTACCTCAACCTCAGCTCTGGCTGCGAGCCGCGCCTGGTGACTGCCATACGACAAATGCGAAACATTATATCCACGCAATAATTCATAATATATAATTGTAATTATATAATGTACAAAGTATTTATATATGTATATTCAAAAGCAAATATTACAATATTATTAACACTCTAACATCGTTGTTTTTACTTAACTAAGAGGCTGGGGGATTCACTTCATCAGGCTGCGCTTCCGATTGATTGTGCGACTGCCACCAGTCGCTGACGTATTGCCGCAGACTGGATAAAGCCAGCACCGAGTGCGAGTCCAGCTTTTCATCCTTGGCCAACTGATCGCAGTACTCGGAGCGGGAACAGGCAAAGGAGCCGCCGAAGGTGCGCAAATAACGGATGCTTGCTATGTGCTCTGGCCAGTGGCGAGATACGCAGTCGAGCAACATGTCCAGCTGCTGGCCAGACAGCGCTCGATACTGGCCACTGGAGGCGGCGGCAGTGGTCTTCTGCAGCACATTGAGCAGACGGGCCAGACTGGGTATGGAGACTCGAGGCGAGAGCAGCGGCAACAGATGCAACACCAGGTGCAGCAAGCGCAGCTGGACATGGGCATAGTCCGTCAGCTCGGACTGGCTGGCGGCCATGGCATACCAGAGATTGTTGACAATGCTAATGATGCCCTCAATGATGTCGAACTGATGGAATTGGACGTCGCGTATGGCGCCCATTAGCCAAGATAGGATGCCAACGTGGTCCAGCATGATCTTCACAGCGCCAGGTATTTTCACGCACGTGGACAGCACGGAGAGTAGCAGCAGATTGGTGTCCAGAGTGGCCAGGTTGGAGCCATAGAAGCTGAGCAGCACCTTGAACGTGTTCGTGGACACCAGCAGGAAGAGATCAGCGCTGCATTTGATGCCATGGCTCAGCAGCTGCACAATGAACTCTCTGAACTGCTGATGCTCCGGCTCCTGGGAGTAGAAGAAGATGTTGAACTCGGGTATAGTCTGGAAGTTGAAGCTCTGCTTCAGCTGCAAGTACATCATGAGTCGCTTGTACAGCAAGTGCGTCGGATCCGTGCTTATGTTGAAGCTGTGCGCGATGAAGAGCACGGGAATCAGCGGCACACGAGGTGTTCCACCGTGGACGCGACGCTGTGCCAGCCAGTAGTTGCGCAGCTCACCCAGGCCGGATTGTATATTGTCGTAGGCCTGCGTCCACAGGGGCTTCTCAAAGAACTTGGATAGCTCGAAGTGGGCTCGATATCTCTGCTGACAGCAGGCGGCCGCCAGCCGCATGTCCTTGTCCAAGGACGACAAGGCACAAAAGCTGACGGCGAGCAATCCGTTCTGGACGGGCCACTGGGCCCGCACCGCTGACTCCGGCGCAAAACAGTGAATCATCAGGGGCAGTACAAAGGCTGGATCATAGCACTGCTCGTAGATCTCCTCGCGCTTGGGACACAATCGACGCACATGCTGCTCGAATTGCGTGCAGCCCTGCTCGATGCGCTGCTCGAGCAGATTATCCCCGAATCTCTGGGATTTGGTTGCAGGATTGACAAACTCCAGCTCAGGCAACTGCTTGCTGGCGTGCAGCACCCGCCAGATGGGAAAGTTCTCAATGGTGTATTGGCAGGAGGAGCGTACAATCAGGGACAGCACCTGCGACACGTTCGTCTCCTGCTGCTGCAGCTTGGCCCGCTCGTCCTCGTCAGCAGCCCGCAACGCGTAGTGAGCCACGGCACTCTCGCCCCAGATAAACGGACGATACTGCGCCAAGTCCACATCGAAGCGCTCATAGTGCTCCAGCAGTGCCAAGGCGTAGCGGTCGGCGGGAGTCAAGCGAGCATGGTAGGCGCCCAGGATGACGGGTATGTGGGCGCTGTGTAGGGCTGAGGGCGCCTTTCTCGCCAACGTCTCCAGCAGCTGCAGCAAGTGCGTCTTCACCTCGCTCAGCTCACCCAGCAAATGGTCATAGCAGCAGGAATGGGTGCAGGCCATCTCATAAAGCAGTCCAGCATCTGCACTCTCTCCCGCCTCTTCTTCGTAGTCCGCGTAGAGCTGGTCGCACAGATAGGCCAGCAGCTTGAGCAGCAGTCCATTGGTGTGGTCCTGCTCGGGTGTGCGATGCTGCTCCTCTGGCATGTGCATGGCCTGCTTTAGACAGCTGCGACAGAAGTTCAGCCAATGCGAAGCTGTCAACAAGCGGCTCCAGTCCAGCTGCTGCTCCTCCAGTTGGGGCAATCGCTGCCACCAGTCGTAGCAATTGAATGCTAGCTGCTCCAGCTTGTCCAGCTGCACGCTCTGCTTCTTCAGATCAAGCGCCAGCATTTGCACATTCAAATTGACATAGCTAACAAAGATATTGGACTGCTGCACTGCATCCTTGCCACTGGCGAATGCCTGATTGTAAATCTCGTTGACGACTCGCATTTGGAAGAGCTCAACCGCATCGAATTTCAGCTGTTTCTGACTGTAATCCAGGCACTCCGACTTGGGCATGCAGTTCGCTATGAGCGCAGCACTCGCCGCTGCGTGCTCCCTGTAGATCAGTGCCGCCTTTTGCGGCTTCTCGATGCTCTTGAGTATGCCATTCTTGTAGCTCTGATAGCAGCGCTGCAGCAGTGACTGCTCCAGCTGATAGCCACGCTTAAAGGCAACCTCCAGCAGTGGGTAAATCAATTCCTTTTGCTCCACATGCTCCGGCAGCAGCTTGGCAAACGTCGTAGCCAGCTGCGTGTTGCGATCCAGGAGCAGGCAAGCCAGTCGGATGGCTGACTTGCTTAACTTGCGATTCGAGGTGGAGAAGAAGCTGTTGAAGAACTGCCCATTGCAGCCAGCCAGGTGATGATGCTGACTGCTCAAAAACTCCAGCAGCGCTAACTCCAGCTGCTCCAGCTGTTCGGCGAGCTGAATTCGCTCACAGAATTCGCTATAATAGCTCTGCAGCTGCAGCATGGACTGGCTGCAGTCGATGGGCTGCTCCAGCTGAGCCAGCCGTCTCAGCAGGCGCACCATGAGCTCGTAGTAATGATTCGTCTTGCCAGTTGGCAACAGGTAGTCCTCCGCCTGCAGCTTGCTGGTGAGCAGCTGCAACATTTCGGCACATTCGCTGGCATTCAGCTCAAAGGCATCCACAAGGGCAACGCACTCGAAGAGCTGAGCAGGCTGCGCAGCGGACTTCACGGCTTTCGGATCATTCAGCGCTATTTCCAAGCCAACCACCAGCTGCTGCCTGTAGTAGCCAGTGTAGCTGACAAACCTGTCCAGGCTGCGGCAGTGCTCGGTTAGCCGACGCAGGCAGCTCACATAATTGAGTTGCGTCTCGCTCGTCTCGCTGAGCAAGTGCGTTGCCCGGAGTTGACTGAGGCGAATGCTGTAGATATAGTGCAGCAAGCGATGCGTGTGCGACTCCTCTTGCTGCTTCTCCTCCAGCTCGTCGGGCACCTTCACTTGCTGCCCGCCATCCAGCTGCTGGGCTATTTGCAGCAGGCGAATCAAGCATTCAGCTATCAGTTGCGCCTGCCGCGCCTTCAGCTGCTTGCTCTCGACCAGCTGGCAGAGCAGGAAGAGCAAGTCATGGGCGTAGATCATGTTGCGATGTGGATTACGCAGACTTATCTGCAGCTGCAGTTTGTTGCCGTCCTCTAGCTGCAGCTCGAAGTGTTCGCTGTCCGCAGCGTCAGGCTTGAATATCTGGTCAAACGATTCACTGGAGGATTTCAGCACCGCCCGCTGCAATTGGGCCAATTGGGGCCAATGCTTAGCAATGCCAGCGGGCAGCTTAGAAAGCTGTCCGACCTGCATGTATGACTCGTGCTCCGACAGCTGTGTGCTGTACAGCTGCTGCACCTGCTCCGGCTTCGTGTGGTAGTGGTAGAGCAGCACAGAGACCAACTCCACATAGGCATCGTACGGCGGCTCTATGTCGACGCCCTGCAACAGCAGCGGCATCATTTTGCTCAGTGTCAATGTCTCCACGTACGCCTGGACTGTTTGGCCCTGTTCGATTTGCTTGAACAGCTTGCGAAGATTCTCCACATTGCTGGCCACCTCGGCTGCATTCTGCGTGGGCAGCTGCTCCACCTTTGTTAGGTCCAGTGAGAGGATGGTCAGCAAAATGCTGGTCACATTGTCCACAGTTTGGCCGTCGAAGCCAATTAATGCCTCCAGCCAAATATCAATCTCGTAGCTCGACGAGTCGAACATGCCCGTGTTTTGGAGCAAACTGTGCAACAGCTCGCCAGCCTCTGTCTTAATAGTCAAATCGGATTCCAGCATATAGGCCTTGATGAACGACCGGAACACCTTCTCGAACAGCGGCTCCTGCGGATGCAGCGAGCGTGGGAAGAGCAACAAAATCGTTTTGATCGACTTCAGCTCCAGCTTAATCTTTTCCACCTTGCTCAAGAGTTCAGTTTGATCCGCACTCTGCTCCACCGCCTCGTCGAAGTTCGTCTCGTACAACGGACGCAAGACATCCAAATAATCAAGAATTTGACTCGTTTTGTTAACGAATGCTCGATTCTCTTTGCACATGATCAGGATCAGCTCTAGAGTGATCGACAGATGATCCAGCACATTTACATCTGCTGACGATCGGTCCTGAATACTTAGGTACAGCGAGTACAGTATGCCCTCGATAGGTGGGAAGTTGATTAGCAAATGATTTAGCAGCTCGAACTTAAATTTACGCAACGAGTTGCCTGCTCGCTTCGACTGCTCCCTCAGGGTAACAGCGTTCACGTAGTTGCTATACTGCGTCATCATGGCCAGCAGTAAGCGATTGACAGCCAATCTGACCGGGAAATCCTTGCTGTTCAGCATACTCTTGCTCACGATGTGCAGCAGAGCCTCGGTGGGCAGGCACACCTCCCTGATCCAATAGGTAAAGTCAGTTAGGGTCATCTTATCCAGGGCAACAGATAGAGAGCTCGGTGGCAAGGCTTCAATGATCTGGGCCAGCATATCGATTGCATTTCGTAAATCTGTCGCTGGCAGATATATAGGATTTACAATCGAGGAGAAATTCCGTACCGTATGCCTGCCCAGATCCGGACAGGCTTGCAGCGTCTTGAGAATCAGCTCCTTCTTGAGCGGATCATTATACGGACGATAAAGTGAGCCCAACACTTTGCCCTGCAGCTTGTTGTGTTTCTGGCGATAGTTAGACATCGCATCGAAGCAGATGCCATGCTTGCGCGAGGTGAAGAGCAACAGGAGCAGTTTATGTGCAGCTGCGGCTACAGCCTCGAGTCCCTCCGGCGCACTGCTCTCTACTGCTGCTGTTTTGTCCTTCTTCTGTCCACTGTACCAGCTAACTAGACCTTGAGGGCCTTGCCAGTCGTAGAGGCGTCGCAGATATTTGCAGCACTCTAAATCGAAGACATGCACCTTCTTTGTCTTCAATATGCTGGGATTCTCGAGTACATATTGACGCAGAGCGTTGAGCACAACGCAAACGGTCACCTGATCATCGTAGAAGAGACCCTTGCAAAGCTCTCGAATCAGATGAGCTCGATCAAGAATGTTGCGAATGAGCACCACATTGCCATCCACCAGAAAGGAGAGCACGAAGTGTATATATGCTTTACGCACAGTGTCCTCGTTTTTGTAATCATACCTGGAGTGAGACAGCATCTCGCCCATCGTCTTCACATTGGAGAGTATGTCGTAGGAATTGAGCACCTGCCTGCCCAGCTGTGCATCCACGCAGACAATTGCAGTCAGCAGTTTGAGTGCATTACGACGATGACTCATCTGAGCCGATTGCAACAGATATTCCAGCAGCGGGCCATGGGCCTTAAGAAAGTATCTTCCGGCGTGTGCAGCCGATTCCATGTGCTCCTTTTGATTCGTGAGTATTTCCATGATAACACGCTGCAACGCCTCGCATAGGTAGCCTAAATGGAGCACATTTTTCTTGTCGATGCGATTGAAAGCTTCGGCTAGTTCCAAAGGTTTGCCACGCTTTTCAATATATTTGGCCACGATCTTTGGACGGATTTGGCACATGTACAGAAAATGCCGCAACTCTATAAAAATGTTTAGTCAATTAAAAGTCCCATAGTCTTAATCACAACTTACCTGTTATAAAATTATTTCCAAGCAATTTGCTCCGAAAATTCAGCATTTTGAAATCATTAGGAAATCGCATAGGTTGCTCTTCGGGCTCAATCCCCGAATCTGGACTGATCTCATCTTCATCCATTCTTTCATACTCTTCTTCTTCGCCTTGGCCTCCTTCAAGTTCAGCCGGCTCTTCCTTGCTGTCATTGCTGAGATTTGTTGTTGTCTCCGGTTCCTCGCCTTGTTGATTTACCTGTTGCGCCTCTTTACACTTCTTTTTCTTTTTTGTTTTTTCAATATCTTCTCCCTGCTGTTCTTCATTCTGCGGTGACTGCGTCTGCTCATCGCATTCCTTGTCTTTTGCCTTTTTTGATTTTCGCTTTGGCGTGTCGGATTCCTTCTGCATCTTTTTGGGTACCGCTATTTCAGCATCGTCGGCTTGGTCTGCGGATGCAGCTTCATGCTTTCTTTTCCGTTTATTCGTTTGTATGGCCATCTTTATACACCTTTCGCATCGATTCTCATAAACAATCTATGAAAATTGACAACAAACTCTCTAAAAAAAATCAAACACACGAGCGGCATGCACGTGCGGTGCCAGATGAATGCGCCCAGCTTATTCGTTACTCTGCATAAGTATTTTAAAGTATCTGAGCAACAGTTGTGCTCTCAGTGCTGTACAACGTTTGCTGGTGAGCCGATAATTACATTTTGAATTTATTTATGTTTATTGCTTACCAGTTACTTTCCATAAGTACTTAATGTTATTGTTGTTGTTRATTTTTTGTCATATGTGCTTGAAAGCAACAGGTGCGCCCAATGTGTGCTGTTGGCGCTCATACTCAAAATATTTTCCATGAGTTTAATTTATCATTATTATTTATTGCAGCATATCTCACACAGATATTAATTACTATAATTTGTGATGTGAAATTTAATATAAACATAAATTAAGTATACATTAAACACATATTTCTGAATTCACATGTTTTATGCGTTTCTTGTAGGACTAATCCTCTTCAAGTGCTCTATTTGTAACTCCCCCTGCACCCAATGAAGAAATGCCGGAATTATTGTTTGTAACTGTTGGAAATTCCGGTAATGTCGTGGTTCGCTGCTTTGCTGGCGCTGGGGGCACCGTTGGCAAATCAACCGATTTACGATTACCTAAAGAAAAATGAGGATAAGTAAAGAAATCGAATTTATCCTTAGAAATATGAAAATTTATAGACAAACTCACTACAACAACCACCCATTTTGCTAGAGGGATTATCAAAGATCGGCTGTACCCGCAGTGGTTGAACGTTTTTAAAGCACTAAATTAGAGAAATCAACCGGTGACCAATTGGCATTGGTATCTATGAACGTATGAATGTATATACATATATAATTAACGTGCAAGCCATCCACCGTTTTCTGATAAGAAGCTTTTTGTTTTTGTTAAGAATACTAAGTGGGTTATACACGGCAACGTTATCTGCTGAGTCGCTCGCATTTGCCACCTAGAAACATTTTTTGGCTCTACGATTTCAGGGCGCTAGCCAAGTCGGCCTCAACCAACATATGTCGCTGAATTTACAAATTTTAGATAAGCTCTTATCAATCAGCAATGTTGGCGGTTTATAATTTTATAGTCCTCGTCCGTAAATTTATCGAAAATCGATCAAATAAATCGCGTAATTGCCAAACTTATTTGCTAAACGAGGGTATGATAATTAAGAAACTATATTCAATAAATAATATCAAAAGCTAGTTTATTTTTATTTATTTTATATTAATAGTTAGTTTATTCAATACAAACATAAGTGCGTATATGAGAAATATATTTTTGCTTATTTTTTTCTACAATTTGAAATGGAGCAAAGCCGCTAAGTTTTTTTTTCGATTTTACAACACTACCATTGCAACAGCTGTTTTGCTTGTGCGCATGTTCTTTGCTTTCGCTCTCGCTCACTCGTCTCTCTATCGCATCGAAACGTAAACAGCGTCCGCTGCCATTTCACGCTTTTCTGATAAAAATGTTTTAAATCAAAAAGTGTTAATTAAAACCGAAATCAAAGTCAATGTGGCTGTTGTCGCAGACGGTTCGTGTTCGTGCGCGTGAACCTCAATAATAAACAAATCGCTTGCAGCATCTGTTCAAAAATAAAATAGCACTCGCATCTTCTGAGTTTTGCTTGCGACGGCAGTTGGCGCTCGTGAGCGTGCTTTTGCACTCATACATACGTGCATATATAGATATATTTTTGTGTTTATGTTCTATCTGACATTCTGTGGCATCTCAGTTGTGAATGTCAACCACAAAGTGAACGAGCCAACAAATCACGGCCCAAAGCAAATAAACAAGAATCATTAAAAAAAGAAAAGAAAAACAGACTCTTGCTCCCGCTCGCGATTTCTCTGCATTTTAACAAAATAATTGCAGCAAATAATACAATTAACATATTAATAATTATATTTATATATATATACACCAGTATACACATATAAATATATAATARCACTTGCTAGCTGGCTGGCTGGCGGGCGAGCGCCATGGATGATGAGTTTAAGCTTTGCTGGAAGAACTTCCAGGACAATATTGCCAGCGGCTTCCAGAATCTGTACGACCGCGGCGATCTAGTGGACGTCACGTTGGCCTGCGATGGAAAGCTGCTGCAGGCGCACAAAATTGTCCTGGCCATATGCAGTCCATACTTCCAAGAGATATTCACGACCAATCCCTGCCAACATCCAATCAGTAAGTAAACTAAGCCAATCCCCTCTCTCAGACTCTTCCACTCCGTTTCTCACTTAATCATGCATTGCTCACGTTCTCTTCACAAGTTGCTGTTGTTTCTGTTTTTGCGATGCTCCGCTCCGATTTGTCTAGCTGTTGTTTGCCAAAAATGTTCACGCGGCGGCTCCCAAGCTGTGGAATGTACAGTATATGCTCCGCTGAACTGGAATCCGACTCGGTTACTCGCGTGACTCCAATCAGATATGTTTCGTTAAAGATAAGCTCTTTTTTTGGACCAGACTCTTAGGCATCTAAATAAGGATTTGCTCTAGAATTGTAGGCTCTAAAGATTTCCTGTTCTATTATCTCATAGCCAAAAGGCTTTTAAAGCTGTTCAGCAAGTATATCCTATTTCCACAATAATAAATGATAATAACAATTCCAATTAACATACTTCTAACAAAATCCTATTAGCATCTTATATGTAATTCATGCGTAGAATCATTCAAAAGATCAAGACCATCAGAAGCATGTTTCAATACCACGACTAGGATTGGTTTAAGTCTGGACATTGTTCGCTCTAACTTGCATTTACTGTACTTGTATTACGTGTTATCGACAGTGTGGAAATTTTATCGCCGTGCACCTGTCAGTTTATCTAAGCGCGCCCGTCAATTGTCAAATGCCAGCCCAAGCAAGCTCGTCGATATAAATCAACTTTATAATAAATTCGATGTCACATTTGGGAGTTAACAACGAACCAAACTGTGCTCTATATATATTAATGTATATATGTATATATATCTGTTACTCATATATGTATTTGTACGTGTATATGTTCCTATGCTTGCTTCACTATTTGGCTACAGTGATAAATCAAAAATCAAATAGCCACTGATGATAATCTTTCATGGTTAGCTGTCGCCACGTTGTCTCGCTCTGCACCTAGCTCATAGTTTCCACTGCTCCACATCCAAGTCCATATTCATACAGATCCAAAATTATATGTACATTCCTTCACATTCCCATTCCATATTCGAAACCACATCTATATCAATATCCACATTCTATATCAGCATCTTGTTTGTTTCCACTCCTCATTGGCATTCCACATCCGATCTTCAGTCCCATCCGCTTTCAGTCTTACCATCCACACCGCAGATCCTAGATCCCTCAACACCCATATTTCCAGCCCTCCTCATACCCATTCCACATTCCACATTCACTCACCTCACTGAGTGCATACCGCATTCATGTTCCACATCCACATTGGCAGCTGTCGCCATATTGTCTCTAGATTCTCGTTGTCTCTTTGTGCTACCCACTCCTTTTCACATCCGAACTGATATCCACCCCCAGCCCTTGTAATGCATATGCACATGCACCACACGCTGCTCGTGCTCCGCTTGTGATAAGGCAGCCCGTTCGTCCACTTGAAGTTGGGTACGTTGCTGACCTCATCAAATGTAGATCCAATGCTTAACTCACTTCAACCTAGATATTGGTGCATGGACTGTGGAATTGTTCATATGGATATCATATCGCTCGTCCGTCCAACCAATGGCTGGGTTTGGGCTTTGGAGGTTCGGGATTGGGGTTGGGGTTGGGCTTGGGGTCTGCCTGACTCGTTCGCTTGTTCTACACGCCTGCTGCACGGTGGCTTTATCAGATCAAGCGGCAATAAACAACAATATTTTATCTTTCAAGTAGCTGTAGAAATATGCTACCTAACTATAATAATAACAACAACAGCACACCTACAACAGCTAGTTGGAAATTACGCACTGTGAGATACCCTAGAAGTTTTATTTTGTATAAAGTCAATAGCAAGTATTCAAAATTTTAATCGATAATTTCGACGAATTGATGTATTCAACTCTTGCAAGCACTTTCCTATTAATATAATTCCTAGATATTAATATAATCGAAGATATCGATTATCGATTATTATTTTAAAAATAGACAAATAAATAGATAAATGTGAATAGTATACTAAATTTAACCTAAAGAAGCTCAACTTTAGTAATAAGACAAAATCAGTCAATAAATACAATCGATATTTATCGATAAATTTCGAAATGGATAGAGAGTAGTTGTCCGTCTTAGCGTACCCATTAGAATAGGAAGCTAGAGAATGGAACACCACCAGAAGTATTATTATTATTTTCAAAGATAAAGAATATTAATATAGGCTATAAATAATGCTATGAGCTACAAATTATTATAAATAAACCAAGTCATAATACAACAACAACAGCAACAACAATGAGCAAAAGGTGCTAACAAGCCAAATGATTTGCTTGCTGTTGCCGTTGTCGGTTGTTGGTTGTTGTTGTTGGTTGTCGTTGTTGGTTGTTGCTCCTGCGTGTTACACTTAAATAACAACAACAACAACTTGTACAACAACAACAAGTCAAACATTTTATCTTTTTATCGCGCCCAACAATCATTTATTGCCCAACGAGCAACTGGTTGCCCGCTCCCTGGCTGCCCCATCCTCCTCCCTCCCTCCCTTTGCTCGACTGCCACTTCTAACGGCACTTCTGTCCGTCTATGCTAGAGATGCACGCGTGTCATGTTGCCCAGCGTGACACGAGAGTGCTTGCTAATGTAAATGTAATCATTTGTGGAGCAACTAACGAGTTTTGTCTCTGTTTAGACTGGATGATAGACGACTAGAGGGGAGTTGATATGTTATCTAACGAATGGTCATAGTAAAGTAGATATCCTGGAAATACCCTCTAACCAAGCGGGATGTTCGACTATATAGCTTGCACAACACCAATATACTCCCTTTGCCCTGCAACTGAACGAGCATTAGAAATATATAGAGGAGAAGTGTGGACACGCTTCCGTCTCTAGTTGAGGCACTTGAAGACTTTTTCGAGATATTGATTAGGGTTGCTCTGACGTTCGAGTTGGTAACCAAAGCGATATGAATTGCTATATTGATATAACCATGGTTGTTGTTGCAGTTCCAGTTGTTGTAGCTGCCTTGTTGCCGATCGATATATACAAAATACTTAAGTAGTAGACATAGGTATATATGGACATCTGTATACACTCGTATATATGCCCATTCATGCAACCAGGCACTTCTAACATGATATCTACGCCATTTTGTTGGCCTCGTACACAACGGTAATCCTCCTATATTATCTTCTTCCTTCTCTTCCTCTGCTCTCTGTTTTGTTTCGATTTCGTTAAAGTTTTATTATTGGCATAAACAGCATTAAGTATCAGCTTGAGTGTTTATCAGCCATGGGCTGGCCGGTATATACGCCTGGTACTCTGCTTTTGGTATCATTTGAAATCGTAAAATAAGATTTTTGACTTATGGCTAGTTGGTCAGATAAGAGAGACGCAGAGACGCCTACTGTGGGGTATGCGTGCTCAATGGCCACTTAATAAGCCCAAAACAAGTCCCTCTACCTCGGCTTGTCGACTAGCAAATACCCTCAGAAATAAGCCCAAAATTTGAAATGGAATGGAATGAATGATGATGAAATGAGAATTTTGAGAACTTTTAATACTTAGAATACTTGAATATTTAGGATAATATCGTATTGAATTGTGATTGTGATAAAAGTTGCTGATCAACTTGCTTTAAACTCGGTCGACACAAGCTAGTCAAGTATTTCTATCGCATCTAATTTCTCTTGTATAAAGTAACCCATATGCCCAGTTTGAGCAAATTTCAATAGGCTGAGGGTATAGCAGTAAGTAAGTAAACCTAAACCAATTACAGACGCTAGTCGATAGCTATAGTGTTTCCTCTTCAAGTGCTCCAGCGATCGGAGCTGCGGCTGTTGCTGATATTAGCTGCAATAAATGTAGATAATATAATATCGACCGAATGAACTTGTCGTAAATATCAAACTCAAATTTTTATTTTTATTGCCATCAATACTAGCCCAGTAACCAGTGAGCAGAAAGCACAAAGCAGTAACCAGTAGCAGGGGCGGCGTATACAGGAAGCCGTTTATTCCTAATGGGGGTAGTAAAAAATAAGTTTATTTATTATAGTAAGCAAAAGACAGTTCAGAAATAAACAAAAAATACTTTTATTTATATTTAACTTTTCATTATTTCTTTTCTTTTTTTCTTTCCTTCACGAAACTTCCTTCTTAATTACATCCTCTCTTGGGTCGATAAATCTAGTTACACTTCTGGAAACTCCATACAACTCTTATTATTTGATGGTAAAGTGTATAACTTCAATATGAATTCCATATCGAGTTCAATATTTACGATATGAAAAAGTATTTAATCTCCATTTATGATAATATTTATTACATATATTGTTCCATATATAAATTTGTTATCTTACCTTCAATATAAAATCACCCAAATGTAATTCCCCATCTATGTGGTATACTTCCCATAGTACGCCTCTGCGTCCGGCTTGTGTCAGTCACGGCGCATTGCTGACGTATGCGAACCAGGAGCACATTTTATAGGTGTATCATATAACTAATATCAGACTTTGGCTTTGAGGCATTTGAAAAAGTTTTGTGGCTTTTTTATGGACCTCTTCTGTTGGCCAAACAATATTTTTAATTTATGAGTCAAAAGTCGGTAGCAGAAATAAATAGATTTAGATTTAGATTTACTTATCGATAAGTTAATTCCTTGGGCTGATTCCCAAATACTTTGATAATGCTTATCCAAAATATGGCAAGGCAACAACTATATAATCCAGGGTAAAGTAGTTAACTCAAGCTATAAGCTCTATAAGCGACATAATTTAAGGAAGTATTATTTGAGCAAACAACTTTTATTCTCGAAATCAAGCTATGATGCGAGGTCTCTAAACGTATCAAGGATTCTGTATTTTCTTAAAAAGTGTCAAATACATATATAATTCTTCAAGAAGTCCTTATCTGACTTGGGTTTACCGGGGTTGATATAAAAATAACAAAGGTTTGGTTGTGATAGAAGACAACGAAATGACCGGAAATGAATATTAAATAATAATTATAATCGTATGTCTCTAGAGATTACGGAGAAAAAACAAGCAAAAATTACTTATTCATCAAGTGAGAGGAATATAATATACTGAAAAGACTATAGTATATACTAAATATAATTATGTGTCTTCATGATCTAATAGAATTAGATCATATTCTTAAACCAGGTCTTCGGTAAAAAATTATTCTTTATATGCATAAGTAATCTGTATGGTGTCTATACTGAAGAGTGGCTATCCGAGCTGTCCCAATACAGAAAATCCAAATTGGATTATGTTAAGACCCATACAATAAATATGAAAGGCTAATAAAATTCATTGATATTTATTTGGATTCCCATATATCCCTATTGGAGTACAAACCCAAGCACAGTTAAACATTTTTCCATTAACAATATCCTAGTTGGGATACGTGTTATGTGGAGATCGTGATCAGGCGCTCGTCGCAGTCCCTAATCAGATTCTACTATTTATATAGCTAGCAGCTACACTATGAATGTCCGACTAATATGGCGTTAACTGATAACATGTATATTATTAATGTTTGTGCGCTGACAGYCCACTCCAATTCCAATTCCAATAGCAATTCCAATTCGAAATAGAGAAGGCCCATGGAAAAAGAACGAAACGAAATCAATTGTCGCTCTGATTCGATAAACATTTATCATAATCATAAAATAAAAGTGCTTTTTCGTATATTGGTCGATCGACTGCAATCTCATTGGTCGCTCGCCGAAAGTGGGCGTGTGCTCGAGACAATGGGTGGTAACAGAACTACTTCACGTAGCTATACAAATAGAATACATACAGTTGTACATACTTACATATATATCGTACTCACAGTCCTGCGCATTCGTGTAGCTGCTGCGGCGACGGCTTCGCTTGGATGATCTGCCATATAGCTATGCGATATCAGCAGAGATCAACTTGGGTTCAGTTTCATAAAACAGAAATGACAACGACATCTCTCTCTCTATACATATACATGCATACATATGTACATACATACATGCACACATATGCAGCATACACAAATGATGATCGTTGATCGTGCCCGAATTGTCACTTGCTTTTTGGGTTGCTTCGATCTCGCTGCTTATCAACAGCATACTTACTCTATGCGTATTTATCACATTTTCCGTGAACTTTAGACAAAGTTTATCTACAGATTTGTTCGCGCTATACAAATATCAATAACATATTTTAAAATGTGTGTGTGTGAGACTCGATCATGCTGACTGTGTAAAGATCGCTTTGTATGACTGTCTGTATAATCATATAAATATAATAAAAATATATTTGTTTTGTAGCATCAGATATTGTAGAGATGACTAGCAGATAGCTCAATCACTCACAGATCAATGATCGGTCGATTGATACGATTACTTATAAACTATATTGAGAATGCTCTCATCAGGTGTGCTCGACTAACAGATATCCCCTGATATCCTTCCGCTCTATAAAATGTATCTTTCATTCGCAAAAGAGATTGACTTGTGCAGAGAGATCGATCGATTTGATTAGTTATCCTTGACAATATTATACTTGATCCCCAAAGCTGCTGCCACAAAAACCAATACACCCATTCAATCCATTTTAGGGCACATGAACCTGTTGGAATCTAAGTTTATATTTGATTAGTTGCACTTTCCTAGCGTATCGAACTAAGGATCAGCCGTCAAGCTCATGCATAACTATATATAGCATATGTAGCAACTAGATCGATCGATTGAGGGTTATTATCTCCACTTATATATATAAATTGCTCGGATTTTGATCTTTGCGTTGCTTACAAACACGGACGTGGCGACGCACAGATACGAATAGCAGATAGCAATGGAATGGGATGGGATGGGATAGATGACGGCTCGGCTTGCCATAGCCGACACGAGATTAAGCAACAGATCAACAAATGACAGACCAAGTATATACGTATATATAGAAATTGTTATTGAGAACAAGTGATAATATTGTGTTTTATTTTTTATTTATTTAACTAGATGTTGCTAGCAGCTCAAGCAAAGCGGTTCGAATTGACTAGCTCTGTGCTGCGATTGCGGTGCCAAAGATAATTAGACAAAGATAATAATAAGACAATGCCAATTAGATGGCATACAAGGGTGAAGACTCTGCTGAGCTGAGATTAAGTTAATGATTAGTTAGGTATGAGAATCTTTAGCATATTGTTTTATATTGAATACTATGGGTTGATACAAAGGCTAAAGACTTGCATAGACATTCATATTTGTCGTCGTCTTTTAAAAGTGTTAAGATCTTGAAGTTTTACACCAGGATTGTGACTAATTGCGGTTACAGCTAATGACAGTTGATTGTATTGTTTGAAAGGAATCTTTAATGCAACCTCAATATATTTCATAGTATAGTTGAACGCTTAGACTCTTAGTCAACGTTCAACAAATATGATATATAAATTTTTCAAATTTCATTTGGCATATTTTATGCTGAGCCGTGGGTCAAATCTCGCATGTGGGCCACTGTGCCGCCTCAGCAGAAGCATTAATGAATCTCAAAAAAATATTGAAATATTCGAACCGTTTCAGCGAACCGTTTCATCAGACAGCGGCGATAATATGAGATGCTATTTATTTACTTAGTTATTGCTGCGTTTCCTCTTCATCATGCTGTTGTTGCTCGACTGTTGTTGAGTGTGTATGTGTGTGTGTGTGTGTTTTTTTTTTTATTTTATTATATATTTTATATTTAAGTTTTCAGTATTCTTATCGTAGCTGTTTATAGCTGTGTGTTTTTTTTTTTTATGTATTGATTTAGTATTTGAACGCTTCGATGATAACATCTCCACTATGAATGTGACCTCCTTTCAAGCTGAACATGCTTTTTATTCCTACCCAGAGACGCACACACATTCACTACTTGCATATATAGAGCGTAATATATATAATTAGAAAAAATTCCAATGCCAAAATATAAAACTCGATTTGTCGCTTCGACTCCTGTGCAATCTGGACTAGGGACTAGGGCTAGCTTAATTTTTAGGTTCAATTAAGACAATAAGTCGCAGGCAAAAAGAGGCGTGGCATGCAGCAGAGACTAGAGTGCTTATGACATGAACTCAAATGAATTGTTGTCCCATTTTATATATACTTTTTATGTCTTGTGGAATATTTCCAGTATCTCACTGCCTCGACGTCTTCAATTTCTCTGTCTCACTCTTTCTCTCTCTCCCTCCTTCGTTGCAGTCATACTCAAAGATGTGAGCTTCAATATTATGTGCGAGCTGTTGGAGTTCATGTACCAAGGCGTTGTTAATGTCAAGCACACGGAGCTGCAGTCGTTTATGAAGATTGGCCAACTGCTGCAGATCAAGGGGCTGGCGACCAATTCGAACAGTCCGCCCGGCTCCAATGTGTCCGAGAAGTCGACTGGGCAGGCGACAAATGCCGCCGCTGGCGCCGGCGATGAGCCTAGCAGCAGCCAGAGCAACAATGGCAGCACCAACAACAACAGCAACAGCAACAACAACAACAATAGCAGCAGCAAGTCCGATACAGAACAGAATGAGCCAAAGAGCAACTCGCGCACACCCACAGCCTCGCCGAGCACCTGTCGAACGGATGTAAATCACCTGTTATACATGCAAAACAAGAGATCAGCGGCCGCAGACTTCAGCAGCGACTCGCTGTCGATCTATTCGCGCAAGCGGCGATCTCTGGATGGCATTGATAATACGGACAGCGGGAGCATGGAGCACGCATTGAATGCGGAGGAATTCTTTATGCCACCCATACCTCACATCTCGATGGTGGAGCCGCGCTACGATCTGGGCAGCCTGAAGCGCGAGGGTGAGGGTCATCACAGCAGCGTTGGCAGCGCTGCCGGCACGAGCAACAGCTCGGCATCCTCTTCGACAGCGATGGGCTCGCTGCGTAATCCGTTTGCGCAGGCCTTCAATCTGGACTACAATAACTTCTACAAGGCAACGGGCAACAGTGGCTCAGCTAGCAACAGTTCCAGCAATTTGCCAGGCARCAGCAGCAACAACAGCAGCAGCAACAACAACAGCGGAGGCAACAACAACAACAGCAGCAGCAGCAGTGGCCTTGGCATTGGGCCAGCCACCGAATATCCCAATGAGCTGTATATGCCCAGCGACTACTCCAAGAACTTTGCCAATCACATGGACATACCGTCAAGTAGGTGAACCCAGCTTCAATCAAAACATTCATGTTTATATAAACATCATTTCTGTTGCATGTTTACTTCGCTTTGACTTTGAGTTTCCATACGCTCGGCTCACATATTTGAACATCATATCATCAAAATATTCCATGTTTTGTAATTTACTAATCCACAGGGATGGAAACCGATGGACTCGATGTTGCGAATATTTATTTATTTTTTATATAGATTTTGCAAGTTGTGTTCCAAATACTTTTGTGGCTTTTCAAATTTCACTCTTCGTTGAGTTGGAGATGTCCTTTAGTGATTTCCTTCTATCGATGAATTACGTATAATTTCAAATTACACGCGATAATTCGATAGAGTTAGAGATGGCTTTGGCGAATTTTCGCTATCGTGTAAAAAACAATTGCTTTAATATCTCACGCACCGCGTATTCGATGTTCGTAGGAGATAGAAATAGTGAATCCTCATTTAATATACTGGAATAATTGGAAGTTGATGAACATCAATGATAAATGCTGCGCGCGTAATTTGAAAACAAATTTGAATTTGAAACAAGGGCCTCGACATACGCATGTGGTTTCCATCTCTAGCCTAACCACAGACTTGCTGACTGAATTGATTTGATATGCTTTTGCCCATTACCTAATCTCCCATAAATGAAAAATAACAAATCAAAATTGTACATAACATTCGTTTAAGCTTTAAGTATCGTTTTATTTTAAATATATTTGTATATGCTTTTGCCCACTTCCAAACCTACCGAATCCGAAATGTTAGCCTCTCTCTGTCTCTCTCGCTCCTCTTGTACATAACATTCGTAAAGCATTTGTTTGTTTTTGGAAAGATTTGCCCCCAAACTAATCTCTGCCAAAATTGTACGTATACTTAATATTTATTGCGAACGCTGCACTCCGGATCAGATGGGAGCAACATGGTCATGTTGTCCACCACATCGCTGCTGCACGGTAATTGCGTGTTCAACCGCAACAACACCGTCGCCACACAGCAGGGCATGAAGACCTATTGGCTGTGCAAGTCCTATCGGATCAGCATGTGCCGAGCGCGCTGCATCACCCATCTGGGCAGGATCATATCCGCGACGGGCGTGCACAATCATATGCCGCACATGCGAGGCGGCAGCGCTGGCAACAACAACAACTCCAGCAGCAGCAATGCGAACAACAACAATAGCGGCAGCGGCAGCAATTTAGTCACTGTCACGCCCAATCCTAATCCTGGGCAGGTCAGCTACGATGTCACGCCCACAACTAGTGTCCTGGAAATGAATCATCATGGCCCAGTCGGACGGTTAGGCAGTAATCCGTATACCAGTCAGACCACTCCAACAGCCGCCCTTCCCATTGGCCCGCATCATCATCACCACCACCATCCCCATCCCCATCATCATCATCAACAGCAGCAGCAACAGCAGCAGCAACAACAACAACAACAGCAGCAACATCATCAGCTGACGCAGGCATTGCCCAATCTTCTGGTGCAGCATCACAGCATGGATCAGCATGGCATGTCAGCAGGTCCGCCGCCTCCGCCTCCACCTCAGCCGCCAGCACCGCCACCGCCAACAGCCACAGCGGCCGCAGCAGCAGCCGCYGCCGCCGCCGCCGCAGCATCACACAGCGTCATCCAGAACATGATGCACAACAATCCAAATCTGATGCACTTGCCACAGCACTCACAGCATTCACCACACTTGGAGCTGGGAGCAGCTGGCTCCACGTTGTTGCCTCTGGCCGACCAGAGTCCACAGTCGAATCGGAGCAATCACTCCGCCTCCATGCATGCCAACGAATCGCCGCTGGGCATGAAGAGTCCGCCGCCTACTGCCAGCCAAATGGATGCAGCCGAGCAGCAGCAGCAGCAACAGCAACAGCAGCAACGGCAGCATGTGGATATCAATGCCAGTGCAGATGGCTCGGCGGAGAGTGCTCAGGTCATCGACTCCATAACGATATCGCCGGGCAGTGGACACAACTTCAAGATCGAGAACATCTAAAGGAATTAGCTCATAAGTTGATGATAATTTATTGCGGCTGGAAGCCGCTTAGTTAGTCTGTCTAGATGAAATTCATTGATTTAATTTTCGATTATTTGTATGTATGTATATATATACGATTTACATATGTATGTATGTATGTATGTACCGAATGTAAAATGCAAAAATGAAACATATTCTGACAATGTCGAACCCTTTTCATCGGACTTAATGCAATTCGGATGAGATCTAATCTTAACTAATCTGATTTGATCTGATCTAATTGATGAGTTGATAATTTGTGGACAGAGGCACGTTTTCTCATTGTCTAAGCTGAGAGTTGAACCTAATATTAATTAAATTTACTGCCTGCCCTAAGTTTATGGCAGTTATACTAGCTGTCAATAAGCATGATGATGATCATATCTGAAGGTCGGCTGAAGTCACTGTTAGTTAAATTTTGAAATATATGAATTGTAGTTAATAGATCTTGTTTCAAGTCTAGCTTAGACAAATGAGGTAATCGTGCCTTAAGATAGCTTTAAGCAATCAGGTAAGTCCTAACTCATGGTAACTGCATGAGACTTTAATAATGGGGCTCATTTGTGAATGTCCAGTCATCAATCAGTCATCCAATCACACACACTCAAACACACTCACACCCACACACACACACACAGAGACAACGCACACACACATATACTTTCAATGCTGGCTATCTTGTGTATATTGTAGTCGCACCTGGCGAGCATTGGTTCCAAGGCAAGCTCGAGTTCATGCTGAGCCAGCGTGGCAAACCGCTGCTGGTCCACGACGGGCACACGTTCGGCATTCAGTACGTGCGCAAGGATAAGAAATATTGGCAGTGTAATTTGTCGCGCAAGTTCAATTGCAAGGCTCGGGTGACGACGACGGACACCGGCGAGATAATCGTGACGAACAACGAGCACTGCCACACGGAGATACGCCAGCACTTGCGCAAGGACTATCAGCGGAACAAGGTCATGATGAATGCCCTGATCAATTTGAGCACAAATCGTTTGGCCGAGATGCGGCGCCACAATTTGGCCGGATTGGGTGCGTTACCTGCGATGGGCATGGTATCGGGTGCGCCAATCATTGATGAGGTCGTGCAGAATCTGCACGATCTGGCTAAGGCATCGGCCGAGGCGAGCCAACAGCAGCACCGGGCCAATGAGGCACTTAAGTATGAGAACGATGAACCACTAGACTGTGGCATTCGCAATGCTTCTGCCTTGGAGAATATGGCGCGTAGTTTTATGGGCAGCAACAATCAAAGCCCAAATAACGACACTGATCTAACCAAAGAGCATGATTGGCCGTGCAAGAATGAGGGTGCTGATGTGCACTGAGAGCACAAGTTTCAAATTGTTAGAGAGAGCGCGAACGCAACGTTGCATTTTCGATGCCGATAACAGCGGCGAAAATTTTCGATAGGCAGGCGCCACCTGGCGCATTTTGATGTCAATTTAAAGGAAATACAAACAAATTAAGTACAAACGGAAAGCAGCAATAATACTCAAATAAATAAAAAAGAAAGACGATACCAAAATGAATTCCAAAGAATTTAGTTAATAAACTACATTTGAATAGCGAATTTAAGAAAAAATATACATTTCTGTTAACTGCAGCAAGACATACATGAAGTAGTATCGTTTTATGTTATTTTAGTTTTACATTGTAATAACTTGAATTTTTAATAAAATTTTATATTTTCTTGGGTGTGTATGAGTATGATTATGAACTTATATATTAATCACACGGCTCAGCTTCTGTATGCGATTCAACAGAAGATCACCCTGTTTGATGGTTGCCTGATACTGCCAATTCTTGTTATCTGGTCGATTGGTCTCCACAATGCCGCCCACGCGATCAACCTTGGCATGCAGGCGTCCAGCGGCAATGAATCGGGCCAGCTCCTGATCGATGTAGTCGACAGTGACGCCAAAAGCCTCAGCCATATATTGAAGTGTTAACGAACGGTAAGACTCCAGCAGTTGTGTGTATCCCAAGATGCGCATCTCTCGCACGTAATAACGGTAGTGGGGATGCACGAGATAATCGGCGCGCAGTTGCTTCTCCACCTGAGCTAGATTCACATAGAACTGTTCGTACTGGCAGTTGAAGAGGGAGAACAGGAACTGCTTCACATCGGGCAGGCCGTGCAGCACCTCCTGGATTTCGGAGCCCTTCACTACCTTCTCGCGCAGCTCGTTGCGTGGCAGTGCAATCATGGCTACGTAAACAGTGTAGCGGACGAAGGTCGGGTAGTCCATGAGCTCGTATGAGGTGAAGGTGCTGACAGTGTCCAGGAAGAAGGTGGCCGCTGCCTTGAAGTCGCGCACAGCAACCGAATAAATTCCCTGATATACCTTCAAGCGGTTGCGGCGATCCCAGTCGCCACCCTCCTCAATCAGATACTTGGCCTTGTCGATGTTGCGTGTGATTAGGTCGTGATCCAGATAGAACAGACCCAGACGAATCAGATGGAAGACAATGTCCAGGCGGTGGCCTAACGACACGGTCTTCTCGTACGTCTTGCGGAAGGCTGTCTCAGCGGCTGCCTTGTCGCCGATACGGCACAGGTATTCCGACTTCTTCAGATTGGCTTCGCGTACCTCCATCTCGCCTAGATTCTTCTCGGCATCATCAATGGCAGCGTCCAGCTGTTCAATTGCAATGCGGTTCTGTTCGCGCATACGTGCCAGCATATCCTTGTCCACAGTCCAATTTAACTCTGTGCAGATGTGCTCATACCATGGAGCCATATTATCGGCTCGAATAGCATCGAGCAGCTTGGTCTTGAGTGCTGCATCTTGTTTGTGTTCGGAGAGCGTGAGAAGGAACTTTGTTTGTGCCAACTCTAGGTTGGGGTTCTTCTCCAGGCCTTGCTCCTCAAGGTTTTCAGTCGGCATTTTGTTTTCTTTGACGCCTCGATTAAATTAAACAAGGAAATAATTTCCAACTCAAGATGAACTATGTTTTTGTCAAAGCCGCAGAGTCATGTACGAGCTAAAGTTGGCTGCGCTGTTTTCAACAGTGCTGCAAAATATCGCAACTATAATCGATAACACTGATACAAAATTGTTTATCGAAAGGAAAAAAGGGGGAGTGCAAGAGCAATTGATTTTTTGTGAGGAAAAGTTATTGTGGGGTCCAAATTTGTGGAAAATTTTTGATTTTCCAGCCGACTGCCTAAGCTACAGCACGAATTTTCAATAAGGTCCGTTTGCGCAACTAGAAGACGCAATAATGATTGGTGGTTTGTTCGTTTACAACCACAAGGGCGAGGTACTCATATCCCGAGTTTATCGCGATGACATCGGTCGCAACGCCGTGGACGCTTTTCGGGTAAATGTCATCCATGCCCGGCAGCAGGTGCGCTCCCCAGTAACGAACATTGCGAGAACCAGCTTCTTTCACATCAAGGTTTGTGCCACGTCAACCGGATATGAAAGATCGTTGCCTTTAATGACTGTTCCCCCTCTATATTTGTAGCGTGCCAACATTTGGCTCGCAGCTGTGACCAAGCAAAATGTGAATGCTGCCATGGTGTTCGAGTTTTTGTTAAAGATCATTGAGGTGATGCAGTCGTACTTTGGCAAGATCTCCGAGGAGAATATCAAGAACAACTTTGTGCTTATCTATGAGCTGCTCGACGAGATCTTGGACTTTGGCTATCCGCAAAACACCGACTCGGGCACCCTCAAGACATTCATCACACAGCAGGGCATCAAGTCGGCCACCAAGGAGGAGCAAATGCAAATCACCTCCCAGGTTACGGGACAAATTGGATGGCGACGCGAGGGCATTAAGTACCGACGCAACGAACTGTTCCTCGATGTGCTGGAGTATGTCAATTTGCTAATGAGCCCGCAGGGTCAAGTGCTGTCAGCTCACGTGGCTGGCAAGGTGGTCATGAAGTCCTATTTGTCAGGTAGGTCATGAAATGCACTCCACTCGCATTATTATTAATGATCAATCCTATTTTCAGGCATGCCCGAATGCAAGTTTGGCATCAATGACAAAATCGTTATGGAATCGAAAGGTCGAGGCCTTTCCGGCAACTCGGAGGCCGAAACCTCGCGCTCCGGCAAGCCGGTGGTTGTAATTGACGATTGCCAGTTCCATCAGTGCGTCAAGCTGAGCAAGTTCGAGACGGAGCATTCGATAAGCTTTATACCGCCGGACGGTGAATTCGAACTCATGCGCTACCGCACAACAAAAGACATTTCATTACCATTCCGAGTTATACCCTTGGTCCGAGAGGTGGGCCGCACCAAGATGGAGGTGAAAGTGGTGCTCAAGTCGAATTTCAAGCCCTCGCTGCTTGGCCAGAAGATCGAGGTGAAGATACCCACTCCGCTCAACACCTCGGGCGTGCAATTGATTTGCCTCAAGGGCAAGGCCAAGTACAAGGCATCGGAGAACGCAATCGTCTGGAAAATAAAGCGAATGGCGGGCATGAAGGAGACGCAGCTCTCGGCCGAAATCGAACTACTCGAAACGGATACCAAAAAGAAATGGACTCGCCCACCCATATCCATGAACTTTGAGGTCCCATTTGCGCCATCGGGCTTCAAGGTGCGCTACCTAAAAGTCTTCGAGCCGAAGATCAACTACTCCGATCACGACGTGGTCAAATGGGTGCGCTACATTGGCCGCAGCGGCCTCTACGAAACCCGTTGCTAAACGTGTTCCACGATGTTCTTTTGAATCGAAGGAGCATAAGGAGTAAACACAAATAAGAGAATTGAACGTTAGAGCCAATATATATTGTTATTGGAATTTAACTCAATCCAAATTGAACAAATGTTGTCTCGTATTCCAAATTTAGTTCTTCAACAATGGGCGAATAGTTAGCCCACAACAATCCTATATATACAAAGATACCAAGCATATATAGTAGCGCAACGGACACACATACATATATTATACATACCATTATATATATACAATATA